CCGATCCTAAACCAATCACCAAGATCTGTGACTCCCTGATTAGCTAGAGCTGAGTCATACATAGTTCTAGCCCTGGAGCTGGAAGTGGAATCAACTACCCAAAACACAAGCGAAGAGCAGGGGACTAGGCGTCTAAGGAAATTTGAGTACTCTTACCCAAAATACAGGCAGTGGATTCTAAAAAAGTAACAGATACCCACTACTGTCAGCTAACACCCCAGTGTAATATACGACAATTTGTTATATTCTTTTCATGATGGGAAAAAAAAATCATAATTTTGTAAAAATCTAGGGGAAAGCAAAAGTCTGCTTTAGAATCAAAGAATGAAGCCAGGCGTAGTGGTGCACACCAATAATTCCAGCACTTGGGAGGCTGAAGCAGAGGGATCGTTGCGAGTTCGAGACCAGCCTGGGCTACAAAGTGAGCTCAAGGCCAACCTGAATTGCATGGTGATACCCTGTCTCAAAAAGACCAAAAAAAGAAAAGAAATAGAATCAAAGAATGAAATTGATTTCTAATTTTCAACAACAAAGGAAAAAGACAAAACTCCATGAACAGTTATTAAAAAAAAAAAAAACAGTTACTCACTTCTAGTATTTGGATTTATTAATAAAAGAGATCCTGTGAGATGCTTGTATGAACTAAAACACCACCACCACGAGAGGACGCTCTTGCAGCTAGATCCAGTGAAGAGAAAGAACAGCGCAGGCCGCACCTTTCAGGGTGCAAGGTGACCTAAATGTCTGTATTTCCGTAAAATTCATTTGTTGAGATCCTGACCCCCAAGGCAGTGGTTTTAGGATGTGAGACTTTGGGAATGATTAGGTCCTGAGAGTGCAGCCTTAGTAATGAGATTGAGCCCTTACAGAATAGACCAGACGGCTGACCGGTGCGTTAGCGGTGCCGACCAGGAACCAGGAAGAGGGACTCCATCCCACTCTGAATCTGATGGCGCCTTGTCCCCGGATTGCCCAACAGCGCAATTTGTTTGTGTTGGTGCAGAACGCTAAGACGGAGTGATAAGCCTAAGACGGGCTGCGGGGAGCCGGGTTTCTCACTCCTGGCATAGCTGGCACAGTGAGCCGGATGGTCGCTGCCCTCATTGTGCGCCTCTGCGACGGAAGGAGAAAATGCAGAGAGCAAGAAACGCCTTATTTGCCCTTCTTCTCCCCATCCTTCCTTTCCCGCTTGGTTTAAGAGAACACAAACTCTGGGAAGTGCATTTTAGATTCTAGGAGGGGGAAGGACGGGGCTGGAGGAGGATCGATGAAGGGTCCCGCTCGCCAACTGCTCTGCCAAGAAGTGAAGTCAATGGGAAAGCATGAAGCAGGAAGAAATCACACAACCAGATTTTCATTTTAGAAAGAGATATTCAAGTGACGGTCCATAAAAGGGCATCTCAAAGACGCGAACCCTTCTGTCCTAGGACTTATAATTTATGCTTCATTCTTAAGTCCGTATTTCTTGTTTCCTTTACTGCATCGTCAGTTGCACAAAGCAGGCTCCAGTCACCACCTCACTTCACTGCATCAAAACTCCTGAGCTTCTTAGGGATCAAACCCAGCAACGCCAGCTTATGGAAGTCAGTTCTATTTTTTAAAAAACAATAATAGCCGCCATCTACTGAGTGCCTAGTATTGGCGTGTGCTGCCTCATGAGTTGGTTTCGAAATAATACTTGAGCTTCCCACCACCCCCATTAGCTGGAAATAGCATGTTGTCCACACTCTGTGAAGGAGGAGACTGAGGGTGATAGAGATTTGAACGAGATATGAGGTTTTCTGTGGTTGCGGGAGGGGCCTCATAGCTAATTAGTGGCAAATGTGCTTCAGGGATACTCCTATCAGTGATAGGCATTTTCTTGCCTTAAAGCCAGATTCTACCATATTTCCTCATGGATACATCTGATTTCAGATTTTTACTATGCTTTTACTCTTACTCTTTAGATGTTTCTTAAAGTCTCACAAAAATAAAAACCGTTACTGATCTGTTTCTGCTCATAATATGTCCGACACCAAATGTGTGGGGTTCTTCTCTGCACTGATCAACAACTAGTTCTGATGCCAACCAGCTGTCTTTCGATTCAATTCAATCCTGACACTTAGTCCCCAGATTAAACAGAGGTCCCATGGGGTCAGTCCAACAAGATTGTCCTCATTTTAGTTCCTAGTCACAACTCCCAGGTTAACACTTACACTTCTGGCCTGACCAGTCGGGTATAAATTGGGGGCACCTACAACCCTATCTTCAAGTTCAGTAATCTTCTAGATTACTGCTAGAATGGTGCCCAGAAATGGGGAAAACACTATGCCAGTTTATTCAAAAGGGTGCAGTACTCAGGGCAAAGCACAAAGGGGTGGGGAACGGAGCCACACACCCTCTCCTGGATGGCCACCTCTGTATGTTCACCAGCCCAGTTTTCCAAATCCCACTGTTAGGGAGAGTTTAATGGAGAGCCCGTAACTTAGGCCTGATTTATTATGTCATTGGCCTTTGGTGATTCAACTCAATCTCTAGCCTTTCTCCCCTCCCTGGAGGTTGGGGTTTGGGACCAAAAATTCCAACCCTTTCGTCACATGGTTGTTTCTCTAGCAAGTAGCCTCATCCGGAGTCCCCTTAGTAGCATAAATTTAGTTATGGTGAAAGGGATCTTCTTACAAATACCAGAATATGCTCCAATCACTCAGGACTTCCAAAGGTTCCTAAGCTCTGTGTCAGGGGCTGGAAACAAGGTCCAAATATGTATTTTTCATAGTATCACAATGATTTTTCCAGATGGTAGGCATTACTGTTTGCTTCTACAAGGTCTTAACCACATGAGTGAGTCCAGATCTACAGGAAGAAACTTCTAGTTCCGTCTGCACTGGCTTGTCAGTTCCCACCATGTCCCTGTAGAGAGCTCGCGGTCTGGAGACACCAAACCACTGTGGGTTCCTCCAAACTGGAGCTTCCCTTTCAGACATGCAGACATTTCTGCTGTTTCAAATCTCCTTTCCTGGGCCTGCACATTCCCATCTACTTTGCATTAACGGACTAAATCCCTTTAGTGAACACTGGTGTCTTCATCTTTACATTGGTGAAGCCAAAGCTTAGAGAAGCAATGTGCACCCTGCCTCCCTCCCGATCACTCCGGTCTTTAGGGGCAGCCAACTCCAGCCTTTCTCTTTCTGCTCTGCCCCTCCTTCAGCTTGAACCCCAGGCCTGTGGAAGCCCAGGGGGTGCCACCTCCTCCATGAGATATTACTGGATCCTGAGTAAGCCCGCAGCATTTTCCTCCTCACCCCTTCAGATCTCTTCCCAGCAGTTTCTGGGTCCTTATCATCTTTGTATCTCCCAGGAGTTTCCCCAAAGACTCCTGCGGGGGAGGGGGCTCAAGCCATTGTTTTCTACCAATTAGAATCCAAGGGATGCTAGCCTCAAGTCACGCCTTTTTCCAGTGGCTAATTATTTTTAGAAATCTAGCTTTGTTTAGAGTTTTACTACAAGCACACACACTCACACACTCACACTCTCTCTCTCTCACACACACACACACACACACCACTGCAACTCTGCTTGCTAAGCAAGCCCCTTTTCAGCTGACTCCAGGAGAAAGGGAGATTTAGGCCCATTACTTACAGAAGGTGTTTTATTGTCTTTGCCAAAGGATGATGGGGAGAAGAATGCAGCCCCAGAACAATGGAGGAAGGAAATGAACTCATTCCCGCTTTGGAGGACGCATTCATCAGCTGTGCACCCAGCTGTGGAAGTATCTTCAAATAGCAAAACAAAATAAATTTAAAAATGAAGAAAGAACAAAGGGGGAAATGTATATATATATGTGTATATAAAAGGATAGCTGGGATAACTTTACTGCTGATGTCTAATTGTTTATGGAAAGGAAGAGTTAATGCTTAAATTTTTTTTCTTGACCAGTTTTGCATGCTTATAGCTGGGAATCTGAATAACCAATTTGAAGACAACAATATGCAACATAATGACCATTGGTGAATTCCTACCATCTTGTTTAGTGAAGCTCTGCATCATTTCCAGTGTTTTTTATTATTTTTTATTCTCTTAAATGGTTTGATCAGTCTTGCATTCTTACATCTGGTAATCTGAGCAACTTCTCTGAAGATAACAATATGTAATGAAACCACTTAGAAGATATCAGTATGTAATACAACAACCATTGTTAATCTCCTACCACTTTGTCTGTAATTCAGTATTGCTTGTATTGTTCTTATGCTATTTTGTAAATGGATGTCTGTTTGTTAAAAAAAAAAAAAACACTGTTAATTCCTATCATTTTATTTTGAAACTCTATGCCATTTTTAGTTTTTGTTTTGTTTAGTTTATGTTGTTATTTTGCTAATTTTTTATTCTTTAAAATAAAAAAATTCCTTAAATTTTAAAAAAATAAGTAATTGTATGCACTGAAGCCATAATGAGCATTTTTAAGAGAGATGAGGGACTTTCATACCACTCTTTTTTGTTGTTGTTTTTTGGGGGGGTTGGTAGCGGGAATTGAACCCAGGACCTTGTGCTTGCCAGGAAGGTGCTGTGCCACTGAGCTATATCCCCACCCTCTCATATCATTCTAGTTATCTGCACACTCTCACCTTGTGGATCTGCCCCAAAACCCCAACTAAGGAGATAGAGATTGCTTGTGGGAACATTTTATGTGAAATTCTTTAACTTCTGTGCATGCTGTTCTCTTTGCATTTCAAAGCAAATGAAATGATCACTGGGGCATTATGAGTGAATGGATATTACATTTACCATGGCCTCTCAGGGATGAGAAAGTGGCACTGTGTGGTGTTTATCTTTGTGTGATCATCCCCACCCCCCAGGCTTCATAGGATGTCTTTCATCACTTAAAGAAGTATTTGTCAAAGTTTGTCCCCAAAGAAAAGCCTGTTGCCCTCATGCTCAGTTTAGCACCAAAACTGAACACAACTCTTTTAATAAAATATATGCGGTGCGGTAAGATGAAGAGCAAAATGAGGTTTTTGCAGGTATGACAGCTACAACTGAAGCATCAATTTAATTAGGCAAACAGGGGATGCCAGTTAGAATATAGGATTCCCTGAAGCCTTGGAAAGCATAATATAGAGAAAGTAATTCTATCGACTCCTGTATTTACAACTGTAGAAGTTACATAATTACTACGTAAATTTTATCAGGATTGTTAAGTGACACCAGGTACAAACAAAATAAAGCAAAGTCCTTCTTCAGGTTTATGTTACAAGGGGACCCAGGCGCTCGGCCTCCTCCGCGGGGCCCCTCATTGCACGTCCCAGATTTCACACAGAAGCGGGGTGAACTTGTGGTCATTCACTCTCCAAGACATCAGCATCTCAGCATGGTGGTGGTTGAATGTCCGCAGCTCCGTCAGGCGACCCAGGAGACAGGCGAAATGCTGAGGGTTCTCAGGCTGATGAATCTTGCACAACTTCTGGAGCACATCCAGCAGAGGTTCCTGAAGCTTCTCTACCGCCTCTCTGTCCTTTATGTATTGTCTGTCTGTTTCACAGTTTTAAATAAAGTGACAAAAAAGTGGAAAAGCATTAACTTGGCATAATTATGGCAATGTTGACTTTTTCGAAATGATGTTTACAAATGTGCACTTAAAACATACAAGTAGTGTTCAACTCTATGAATTAATTTGCACACACACACCTATATGCATTACAAGCGTGTTTTTCCAATATAATTTTTAATGACTTGTAAAGACTTTTGAAGAAATATAAAGTTTTTAACAAGACATTGTGTGCTCTCTGTTATGTTATATGTAAGCTCATTTATGTCCACCACTTAGACAAGCCTTCCCCAGCCACTACTAAAGACATTCTCCCTTATTTTCTTATCATTATATTTTTGGAGCATTTGGCATCTTTTGAAAATTTTTGTGTTTTCATTTATTATCTCCCCACCCTACTAGGATTTTTTTGTTTTTGTTTTTGTTTTTGTTTTTGTTTTTGTTTTTGTTTTTCTCCAGTACCGGGAACCGAACTCACGACCTTGCGCTTGCCAGGCAGGCGCTTTTGCCGCTGAGCTAAATCCCCAGCCCTCCCCACCCTACTAGGATATGAACTCCTTGCGAGCTGTGTCCTACGTCCTCCCAGTGTCAGGACCCAGGCTTAGTACGTGCAAGGCACCCACTGTGCATCTGCTGAACGCCAAAGGTAATGTTTAGAAGGAGTCTGAGATGTTCGCTAACATGTTAACAGTGGTTCAACTCAAATGGAGTAATTTTAGGCCATTTTACCCTTTCTTTGTTTCTGTTTGCCAGATTTTCTCTAATGAGCAATATTATTACTCTATGGAGAAAAACAACATAAAAATGAAAATATAGCACTGAAATTACCTGGAGAAAGGATGACAATTGCTGTAAGCAGGGCATACTCTTCTTGGGTCATTTTCAATTCTCCAACACTTTTATAAAAACTAAACATGGGTGTTATATATTCATCAGAGATACCTAGGCAGAAACGTTGAAAAATTGCAGAGTTAGAGTACAATTTTCAAGTGACTGCAAAATATAAAACTAAAAACATATTACACATACATCCATATTAGTCCTAACCCTGGGATGCACACCTTCAGCGAATGACTGCAAATTATATGCCTTGGCCAAAGACAAACACTGTAAAGGAAAACAGTTAACAAAATCCTCAAAATACAGCCTAGCCGTGAACTGTATGTCTTTGATTTCAGCAGTGTCTGTTTCAGCCATGACCGTCAGACGGTGTGTGATAACACTCTTGAGTCACCCACCAGAACTTCACCGTCTTCTACACGGGGTTTTGTCTTTATGATATTAGTCTCTGTAATGGCATCTTAGATACCAAAAGAGAGTTGTTTCTTGGTCCAGCTGTATAAGCAGCACTGTTTAATAAATACTCCAGGCTTTTTTATTTAATCAAAGGGTTCCGATGTCTGACTGCTGTACTGCACCTGCCTGCCCAATTACTCTATTGGGCTTCAGTACTTAGCTCTTTCTCTAAATTCTGTGTGTCCAAATCAAAGACACTAACTACGGAACCAAACCCTCCTCTGCCTCTGAACCCACTCTTCCCAGCATCCCCTGCTCAGGGACTGGTGTCCTTCTCCACCCACTTGTGCAGAACTGGCCGCTGAGGTCAGGTGCCCAGTCTTGAAGATTCTACCCGCTCACCTTGCTCGTTACCCCTCTCCTCTCCACGGCTCCTGGCACTGACTTAGTTCAAGCTCCCGTCTCTTTCCGTCGGGGTGCCTGTCATCGCCTCCTCCCTGGTCTTCCTGCCTTCAGCCTGTTCCTGTTCAATGCACCCTCTCTAGACACCCAGACGGCCTTTCTAAACTTCAAGTGGCTCCCCCAGCCCACCCCACCCCACTGCATACAAACCTTTAACGGTCCTCCATAAATTTTGGAGTAAAGTTTTAACTTTTCTTTTTAAGTTGCCCCTGGCCTGTCTCACCACCCACGACGGCAGCGCATAGGGGTTTGTGTTCACTGAACACTCATTATATATTAAGCACTCTTCTGAGTACTCTCCTGCAATTCTTCCACCTTTCTAACGCCCACCGTGGGTGTACAGAGTGCAGTATAGAACTCGCCTGAGCATACAGCTAATGACAGGTGGAACAGCACTCAAAATAGGCCTGACAGCCTTTGACTAAACTGCGCTTCTGTCGTGCAGCCTTGTCTCTGGCTTCTTACAACTCCTGTACACGCTGTTCTGTCCACTTGGAGTATCCCCCTCGATGTAGCTTACTCCTCTTCACAACTGAAGACATCTTTGTGTCACTTCCTCCACTCACTGAGCCTGTTATGTGCAGGGCTCTACTGCAGAAGAGCCTCGGGCTGGGGAACCAGGGAAACAAGCCTGTGCTGGGACTTGTGGATGGACTGAGAGGAGGATGAGTCTCCCATGACTGGTCCGGATAAAAACAAACTGCTCTATTCCTTCCCCAACCAGACCTAAAAGCAAAGAGATTGGCTGAACCAAGCCAGAATTAAAATCTGATTCTGGATGCTTGAGAGCACAATTATCAAGCTGGGCGCAGTAGCACACACCTGTCACCCTAGCACTTGGGAGGCTGAGGCAGGAGATTGCTAGTTTGAGGTCAGCCTGGGCTACAAAGTGAGCTCAGGGTCAGCCTGAACTGCGTAGCGAGACCCTGTCTCAAAAAGACCAAAAAAAAAAAAAAAAAAAAAAAAAAAAAAAAAAAAACAAACAGAAAAACAGACTGCAACTATCATCTAACTTTAAACTTAACTGAAAGAGAATTTATAAGAAATCCTACATGCTCATCTTTAGAAGAGCCTGAGGGATCATCCCAGATTGAATCCTTTCTCTTCTCAACAGACCCACTCTCTCCTGCTTTGACTTTAGCTTCTTTAATTGACCCTAGTGGGTTTTCTGAACACCCAAGTCTTTGTTGAACAACGTGGGATGACATCGTGTGGAAAAGTGCCCTGCATCCAGCCATCACCGAGCACGCTCAGTCCCTCTGACCAAATTAGGTGCAACTCAAAGAGCAGAGGTTTGCAGTATTTGAGTCTGGGGATACTGCCGGTCCTGGCTTCCACAAAACAATGGTGAGGATGTGGGGAGCTTGAGACTATAATAAGTGACATAAGTCAGACACAGAAAGTTACATATTGCACTATCTCTGTTATATGGGAAACTCAAAATATGAATAAATTAAAGAAAAATGAATAAATTAAGGAGCAAAAATAAAATCAGACGTTTTGGAGATGAGGAGGGGGCCAAGGAAAAGAGAAAGGGCAGAGGGCTAGGAATGGGGATCAAAAATGATGAAGATAGGGCATATATGCGTATCAATTCCCCAAGTGAATGTAAATGTCATGTACTGAAAACACATGATAAACATTTTGTTTTGAAAGTGACTGTGAGTTGTCTCTGAGTTTGAAATCTTTTTCTATGACTTGGCTTTGACCATATTACTTAAACTTTTTAAACTTTAGTTGTTTCATCTGTGATGTGAATTATATAATAACAACATTAACTACAATAATATAGAGAGAGTCCCCAACAAACACTAGAGCTAATAATCATAAGCGTTATTCAAATGGATTGAATTAACAAATTAGTTCATCTTAATCTCAGTTCATTTTAGTCTTAGATTAAATTTGTGTACTTTTGTCTTTACAAAGTTATCCTGACTTTTTTTTAAAAAGTCATTCTGCATAGTGCAGGAGATGAAAACAAATTGGCTGACCAGCAATTTGCCTCAGTGTTTTTCTGGATTTTAAAGGTAAACTAAGATCTGTTTTGTCTTACAAAGATTTCGTTTTTATTCTCAGACCTAGTAATCTTTATATTTTCTTCCAACAATCAGTTGTCTAAAGAAACTGATGCTTTCTACAATCAGTTGTAGTTATCCAAAATAATGATTTATGGCTATGCCATAACTTTAAATAGTACATGAGCTTTGGAGAAAATATTCAAGGCAGCTGATTTGAAACTGTTCAATGATGTTTAATTACCTAATTTCCTACTTCATTTGTATTTCTAAATCCCAAGTCATCCTCCAGAAAGGTTACCTCCATTAGCTATCTTATTATAATTGATAATGTTTGTCAAAAATCAGGTTAAAATGTTAATGACTTTCATCTTGTGCCTGTTATATAAGTCAAGAATAAATACAGAGCAAATGTAGAAATCACGTAACAGAAGTTTTTAAAAAATGATTTTCCTACATAAGAGATCAAATGTAAATATGCCTTGGGAATCAGAGCCAGCAGTCAGAATCAAACACACCAGCATGACAAAGGGAATGCTTTCATGTTTGGGACCCAGAGGTTTCTAATACAAGAAGTGTAACAACAATATCATCCTGAAGGGGGCAGCCTTTTCCCGTTTTCCCGCTTCCTCTTTCTTCCCACAGGATTAACATTTGCTTATTTTTGCTCTTACAGCAATTAGCTGATTTTTGGTCACAAGAGGGGGCTATTTTCTAACTCAACTACAAGGACTTTGCCATATAAAAGTTGGGACTCATAAAAAAAATTACAATTTCTGTTTCTGCTCCTGTTTCTTATTTCTTTTCCTTTTTACAAAGAGTTCTGTGGTTGATGAATTCATTATTCAATGGTCATGGTCTGTCACAGAATAACCATTTGATAGAATCAGCACTGTCCTGCTTCAACTTGTCTTAAATGTGTCTCCTATTTCTTAACTTCCTACCCTTAATTAAAAACAAAAACACAGCAGAACTTTATTAATATGTGTGAGTGTGTGTTATATACAAGGATGCATATTACACAAGACACATTTCCTGGTGCTTTATTTTTATATTATTTATTATAATTGATGGTCCCCAGGTAGACTGAGCTTCTTGTTTAAAATGACACAGTTTTCCCAAAACGATGTTTCTTGAACATACTCTGGAAATGACACCTTCTGATGGCGTAGGGGTTAATAGAAGCCCCTGACACGGTCTGCACTCAAGGTTGCATCTGCCTTGGGCTCTGCCTTCATGCTGAACTCATCACCCTAATGGTTTGCCTATGAAGTAATGATACCAGCACTTCCAGGATCCTAAAGCTGACAATATTGTACATCTACTGTCCCTACCGCACCCACAGCCAGATGCCAGGGTAGAGGCGGATCTGAGCTCCAAGCCAGGGTGCAGCCACTGTTGGTCTCAGGCCCTGATCTGTCTGGGTTGGAATAGTCAGGGATCCCATGCCTCCAGCCAAGGAGACTGAAAGGGAGTCTACAGGAAGCTCCTAAGAGAGGTTTCCATGCTTGGGGATCCAGGAAGCGATCATCTCCCCTCTCGTCCCCTTTGATCACTGTCGGGTGAGGACGCAATGCCTACAGTGGCTGAGGCCACTGGAAGACCCTGCAGAGGACACGCCTCGAGTTAAAATCACTGCACCGAGGACAACAGCAGAAAGGTGAGAGTGAGCTAAGTTGCTGATGGTTGCTGAGCCCTGAATTAAACAACTCTGCCGCCATCTTTCCTTGGGTTTCTCATTTGAGCTCGCCCCCTCCTTATTTCTGAATTTCACGTTGAGTTCGATTTTCTGTTATCATCAGCTAAGAACATTCTGACACCCGCCTAACAAGGGAGACACACTTTTTTATGTCTTCATACTTCTTCCTCTGAAATACAATGCAGGATCCTTATTAGGGGAAGACCAGGTTCCAAGGCCAAATTTAAATTTTCCCTTTCTTTGGAGCTTTCCCTATCATAGTGAAGCAGAATTAGTCGTGGGGTGGAGGTGGGGGCACTGGGGGTTGAACCCGGGGCCTCATGCTAGGCAACAGCTCTACCGCTGAGCTACATCATGAGCCTTTTTAACTTAATTTTTGAGGCAGGGTTTCAAGTTGCCCTGGCTCGCTTCGAACGCCTCAGCCTCCTGAGCAGACAGGATTATAGGTGTGCACTGGGCTAGTTAGTTGCTTTCTTTCCCCACATTCATTTCTATCACACCTATCACAATTCATATCCCTCCTTCTCCCT